TAGGAGATCAAGCTGCAGCACAAAGTCCACTGTGTCTTGCAAAAGGTTGAAGTTCTATAGAATTTCGAGTATCCGAGAGGGACCTCCCGCCGTTACCACGATTCGGGTAAAGCTTTCCTCGAACATCCTAACGTCGTCAGGATCAAGGTCGGATTCAGACTCGTAATCGTCGACCATGACGCCTTTCCCCCTCTCCTCAACCCAAGAGGAAGTGCGGGTCGACAGGGATGACGAAGGGCCGCCCAAGACAGTATTGGCGGCCTCGGGACTCCGTCTTTACACCACTTCGGTCTGTTGATCCCTCAAAATCGGTGTAGCCTCTACAACTGGGTTGACATTACCATCGACTTCGGGAATCGTCAAGGAAGGGTCGCCCCCTCATGATGTTTCGATTTGAGGCGCCACTTCCAGGGCCACCATCGTCTCTTCGACGGTGCCTCTCCACTGCCAGCACGGGATGACTCGCCCGTTGAGCGGATGGTAGAAACCGGAGTCTCAGGTCGAGGAACAGCCACCGCGCTTGCAGCTCCGGCCGTAGGTGCGGGTTGGTTAGCGGCTCTCGATGCAGGCCGGATGGCGGCTCTTGGCGCAAGACGGGCAGGGGGCATCGGCTGACAGAATGCGAGTGTAGGAACCCTTGTCCTTCGCGTTCTCCCTATCAACAAAGAAAAACGGTCATATAACTACAAAATTGAACCATAAAGCGAAGAGAACATGCTGACTCATCAGTGAGAGGTTTACGCCCGTATTTCTCGTGGAAGGACGCCCACTCACGAATGCCCCTTGTATGGGGAAGAACTGCGCCCACCCACTCATGGATATCATCAACTGGTGGTGGAGGTAATCACTAGGCTACAAAAGCGAAAACAAGTCAGCAAAATCACCCAAAGAAGGACGATCGGCGACTGCCTCAAAAGAAATCGCAAAATAAACCGAGGAAAACTTACGAGCAAAGTTCGACGTCTCAGGGAACCCTGTCTGGTCTACCACAAGGTGCTCTGTCCGAACGTAAAAATAGCTTTCCTAGAAGCGACGATTAGCCTTATCATCCATCTTTACTACTAAACTCTTGGTTCCTCGATGGTGCATATGGATCATCGTGCCCCGAAGAAATTGAGGGTGCAAAAATATTAAGCATGTGACCCAAAGTAATCCCTCGACCGGCGAGCTCTGCATACTTGATGAGCATGAGGAAGAGCTTATACGCCTACGGTGAGAGCTGAGCCGGGCACACCTCGTAGAAGCGGCAGAAGTCTATCACTAGAGAGAGGAGAGAAAGCATATATCTGACAACAAAAGGATACGCGTAAAATGCGCAGTACCTCGGGCGGTTCAGATGTACGATGTCCGCCCCCGTCGTCGGTATCATGTCGATATGATTTAGGATCCCACACTTAGCCTTGAGCGCCCTAATCGTCGCTTCATCCATGGTGGAAGAAATAGGTTCCGGTTCATCTCCGGCAGGGGGTGTTAAAATCAGTCCATAATTTCCCCAGGCGAGGCAGTATCTCAGCCACAGTCGAAAACCCCTCGTCTTCCGTCACCTCCGTTCCCTTTCCATGAAGAGGTACATCATTTTCCGGCACCGGAGCTTCGACGAATCTGTCAGTCTGGGAAGAGGTACCAGCCATTTATCAAGCTCGATCGGAATAAGAGAAAGTGATGAAGAAATGAAGAGGGTGGTCACGTCAAATTCTGACGAAAGCAGAAATACAAAATATGGAAGAAGGTGGAAGTCTGGGAAATTCCTCAGGTAAATCGAAAAGCGTAACAATCGAATGGTGGGTTCCCCTATATATAGGAACACAAATACCCTGAGCGGGAAACCCGAGAGTCGCCAAAAAGTTGAAAGGGCACGAGAAAAGAGGCGGTGCCTGGGAAACGTGCGTCGTAATGACCCATAACGGGCATCTATGGTATCTTGACTCGACATAACGATCCATCTCCGAACGGACGTAACGGTTCGGTAAAGTCCTTAAAACATCACATCGCCACCTCGCCATAAGAACCCCGTCCACGCATAATAATCATATTTCTCCAAATTCTTGAACAAAGGGTCCGCCCATTGAGCTCGCCTAAAAGACGACCCCAACGGGCGGAGGGACTAACTGTATGGGTCAAAATCTGACCACCAGATGGTTATCATAAAATGAGATGGTAAGAGGTTGACCCTGCCATGGTCGTGCCCTCGATATGTAATGGCGACGAGCACCACGGTCCCTGCCAGAGTCAAGCCGCTAGAAAGCTTATATAGCAAAATAAGTGTAATCTCTTGAGCAAGTAATGAAGGACTCAGTCATGAGAAAGCACGTCGGTCAAAGACTGTTGGATAAAAGGAAAAATTAATAGTATATATAGAGAGGAGGAGGCCATTATAAGGGGGGGGGGGGGGTGGTGGATCTGGCTACTACAGGAGGGGCCATGATTACAGAACCAAATGGATCTCTCAGTTATCAACAGCTTTCTCTCTTCTCCTTCCATGCTCTTATGATTATAGCGTAATCCCGTCATAAATGTAAGTTTATCATGTCTACTTGATATGCAATAATCATCTGAAGAAATATTTAATTTATTTATTCTTCTCCAACTTTTATATCCAATATATCTATATCTAGGGTTAATTATGTTTGGCTAAGATTTACTCTCCCCTATCTACTAATTGGTTTACTCAAAGAATTTAATGATTTTTTGGTTAAACAAAGATCGTCATAAAAAGAAGTGAACTTTACTGAGTAGCTAAAGGTTAGGGATGGCAATGGGGCGGTGTGGGTACGGGGCGATGCAAGTTTAAACACATGCGGGACGGTACGGGTTTAAACATATGCGGGTGCGGGGCGAAATAAAAAAAAACTGTGCGGTTGCGGGTTTAAAAACTTCATTAAAGAAGGAAACTCAATTTCTGCCTTAACAAAGATGAAACTCATACTGATGGAAATTGGGCCTGAGCTAAGTAAGCTTCTAACATAATAAATTCGGTATTTTCAAATAAGTAGACTTTTAATACAGTAAAATAAAGCGATTGAATAGACAAGTTATGTGGAGAAAGAATGAACAATTCGTTTACTTGTACCCAAAAGGAATTTACAGTAAGTCTGACACTTCTAAGATCAACAAAATCTGCAACTCTTTAAAATTAATAAAAAGTATGAGTAGATATCATAAATGTATAAAAAATTCCAGCCAAAAGATTAAAAAAATAAATAAACTAACAAAATAAGGGGAAAAAAGTTAAGCGGGTGCGGGGCGGGGCAGGTGGATGCGGGTGTGGATGTGGAGCGGGTGAACGCGGGTGCATTTGCTATACGAGGCGAGGCAGGTTGAATTTTTGCGGGTTAAGAGAAAATTCACCCCTCACCGCTTGCCATCCCTACTAAAGGTCTTGTAAAGTGTGCATTGGCAACTAACTTAGTATTCCATTCAACATAGTGCCAAAAAATTCTAGCATTAAAGTTTGTCATATACACTACTCATTCGGTCCAAAATAAGTGGCTTTTTGTCCTTTGGCACACCTCTTAAGAAAATACTAATTCCTAAAGAAAAAAAAGTATTTAGACTAAATTACCATTAATTAAAATTTGCATATTGTTAACTCAACACATTGTGATATGTAAATAAGGGCAAATTTCGGAAATATAAAGTTAATTCCTTCTTGATTATATGAAATGATACTTATTTTGGACAAAAATAAAAAAGTCAAAAAGCCACTTATTATGAACCGAAGAGGGTACTACTTTAAGTCGTGATTCCTCTACTTTGGCTTATTACCTGAGGATTCCGAAATAGTGTGCCCAACAGGAGAATTTCTCCGGCTGGTGCACAGGGTCGATGTAGTTTCTTGGCTACGGTTCAACTGAACTCATAACTTTCGATACGGAATATGAATTTAAATGTCAAACTTATTAAAATATCAATAAATATTAGGTTTGAACCCATAATTTAGTAGTACAATATGTTTAATGCTAAAAAATTTAAAGATAAACCCTTTAAATTTAAATTTTGAATTCGTCTATGCTGCAAACATAAACATTATCGTTTGTTTCCTAGTTTTGTGGTTAACCTTGAATCCAAAAGAAAAAGGAGAAGCGACTGAGGGTGTGTTTGGTATGAAGGAAAATATTTTCATGGAAAATGAGTGATTTTATCACTTATTTTCCCTTGTTTGGTTGGTGAGTGGAAAATATTTTCCGAAAAATATTTTCTAGTGTTTGGTAAGAGAGTAAAAAATATATTTTTATGCTACTCTCCTCACCCCCCTCCCCCCCTCCCCCAAGTCTCTAAAAATTCGCACAAACCCAAAGGAACTAATGTGCTGCTTTACTTTTGTTACGCAAAAATAACGTTGAAATTTGTGCTCCATAACTAAAAAAAATAACCTTTTTTTGATTGAAAAAGAAAGTACTCTTTCTACAACATGAAAATAAAGTACTCATATTATTAAAATAAAAGAAAATAGTTTATCTACATTATGAAAAGAAAATACTCATTTTGTTGAAATGAAAAAAGATATTTTTTTATATCATGAAAAGAAAATACTTTTTTTATTGAAATGAAAAAATACTAATATTTTTCTACATGAAAGNAAAAGAAAGTTTTTTTTTTTTTTTGTTAAAATGAACAAAAAAAATTTTTATATCATGAAAAAAAAACTCGTTTGTTGAAATAAAAACAAATCTATCTATAACATGAAAAGAAAGTACTATTAATAATATTTGTATTTAGGGTTGGGGTGGGGAGGGGTGGGGGTTGGGGTGGGGCGGGGTGGAGGTTAGGGTTGGGGTAGAGTGGGGGTTGGGTGGGTGGAGGTAGGGTGTGGGGGTGGGTTGGGATCGAGAATAGGGCGGGGACGGTTGAGAAGGAGTTTTGGAAAATGTTTTGGAAGAGTAGTGGGGACACGACTACGATGTGGGCCATGATAGCGAACTACATTAGGGAAGCTGCGAGAGGTTTTAAGGGTTACAAAGGGATACCCTGGGAGATGTATAGGGGATTGGTGGTGGAATATGGAGGTCCAAGGTAAAGTTGAAGTCAAGAAAGCGGCTTATTTGAAACTAGTGAAGAGCACAAACAAGGAGGAAAAGAGGACGAATTGGGAATGTTATAAGAAGGCAAAGAAAGAGGCGAAGTTAGCGGTTACGGCGGCTAAGAATGCTGCCTTTGGACGCATGTATGCGGAGCTTGGGAGAAAAGGCGGGGACAAGAAGTTGTACAAGTTAGCCAAAGTGAGGGAGAGGAAGGCTCATGACATGGACCAAGTGAAGTGCATCAAAGATGAGGACGACATGGTATTGATGGAAGATGCCCATATTAGACGAAGATGGAAGACGTACTTTCACAGACTGTTGAACAAGGAGGGGAACAGAAGCATTGTGCTGGGTGAGTTGGAGCACTCCGATAGTCTGCGTGATTTTGGATATTGTGGGTGTATTAAGGTCGAAGAGGTTATGGGAGCGATGCGTAAGATGAGCAGGGGAAGAGCGACTGGGCCAGACAAAATCCCGATAGAATTCTGGAAGAGTACGGCCGTGCAGGCGTGGAGTGGCTTACTTGGTTGTTTAATGTTATCTTTAAGACGAAGAAGATGCCCGAAGAATGGAGGTGGAGTACGATGATTCCTTTGTACAAGAACAAGGGTGATATCCAAAACTGCAATAACTATAGGGGTATCAAGCTGTTGAGTCATACTATGAAAATCTGGGAAAGGGCGGTGGAAATCAGGGTGAGAAAGAGTGTGTCTATTTTCGAGAATCAGTTTGGATCTATGCCGGGCGATCGACTCCGGAAGCCATTTATCCGGTGAGGAAATTGGTAGAGCAGTATAGGGAGAGAAAGAAAGACCTACACATGGCGTTTATAGACCTAGAAAAGGCGTACGATAAAGTTCCGAGGGAGGTTCTATAGAGATGTTTGGAGGTTAGCGGCGTTCCGGTAGCTTACACTAGGTAATCAAGGACGTATATGATGGTGCTAAGACTCGGGTTAGGACAATGAGAGGTGACTCAGATCACTTCCCAGTAGTGATGGGGTTGCACCAGGGATTGGCTCTTAGCCCGTTCTTATTTGCTCTGGCGATGGATATGCTGACGTGGCACATTCAAGGGGAGGTACCATGGTGCATGTTATTTGCCGATGACATAGTGCTGATTGATGAGACGAGGAGTGGGGTCAATGCGAGGCTGGAGGTCTGGAGGCAGGCCCTAGAGTCTAAGGTTTCAAGTTGAGCAGGACCAAAACGGAATACTTGGAGTGTAAGTTCAGTGACGAGACTCATGAAGCGGACGTGGATATGAAGCTTGATACCCAAGTCATCCCGATGAGGGGTAGTTTCAAGTATCTCGGGTCTATAATCCAGGGTAACAGGGAGAATTATGATGAGGTCTCCAATCGTATCAGTGCGGGGTGGATAAAATGGAGGCTTGCATCCGATGTTTTGTGTGATAAGAAGGTGCCACCAAGACTTAATGGTAAGTTCTATAGAGTGGTGGGTAGACCTACTATGTTGTATGGGGCTGAGTGTTAGCCAGTCAAAAACTCCCATGTTTAGAGGATGAAAGTAGTAGAAATGAGGATGCTGAGATGGATGTGTGGGCATACCAGGAGAGATAAGATTAGGAACGAAGTTATTCGAGACAAAGTGGGAGTGGCCCCTGTGGAGGACAAGATGCGGGAGTTGAGGCTGAGGTGGTTCGGGCACGTGCAAAGGGGGAGTACGGATGCTCCTGTTAGGAGGTGTGAGAGGTTAGCCGTGGCGGGGCTGAGAAGGGGTAGAGGATGGCCGAAGAAGTATTGGGGAGAGGTGATTAGGCAGGATATGGCGCTACTTCAGCTCACTGAGGACATGATCCAGGATAGAAGGGTGTGGAGGTCGAAGAATAGGGTAGTTGCCTAGTAGGTAGTCGAGAGTTCCTCGTTCTTTTTTAGTAGTATTAGTAGCCCCTTTGTTTTTTCGTTCCCTCTGTGTATCGTATGTTCCAGTTTGTTACTGTTTGATGCTATTTTCTGTTACTGGTTTCGTTGTTGTTGTTGTTGTTGTTGTTGTTATTGTTATTGTTGTTACTATAGTTGTCTTTCTCCCCTTTTCCTTATCGTCCTTTGCCCACCTATTCTTTCTTTCTTCTTCGTCTTCTTCCTTTCTCTCTTTTCACCTTTTCTTGAGCCGAGGTCTATTGGAAACAGTCTCTCTACCTCGCCAGGTAGGGGTAAGGTCTGCATACACACTACCCTCCCCAGACTTCACTTGTGGGATTATGTTGGGTATGTTGTTGTTGTTGTTGATAAGGAAAATATTTTGCTCAAATTAGAGGAAAATAAATTCATGAAAAAAATATTTTTCAAAACATTTAGACCAACCAAATATGAAAAAATTGGAAAACATTTTACTTGGTACCAAACACACCGTGAAAGGTCTCACAAAGTGTTGTATTACTAATCTTACGACCCCCAATACTACTCCGGTCCGCATAAGCAAAAGGTAGACGGATGTAGTACACAGTAGGAAAAAAGGGCCCCACTTTTCTCTATCTTGTAAGCCACGTGTCATCATGGTTATGGCCTCATCAGAATTTTGTAATACCACGTCGGATTTTAAGGACCAAGGAACACGAAAAATAAATTCAGCCGTTGAGTTGGTTTCTCAATTTCTCATCACACATTAGCTATCAACGATACAAACCTTTATTACACCACAGAACAGAAGCCATAATTAGCACACAACCAAACTTTCAGTAGAAAGCAGAGGGACATACTCAGCAAAGCGGTGGCAAGAGGCTGAAAAGTGATGGCGCTTAGAGCTTCAGCCACCGTAAAATCACCTCTTCCTCCGGCTTCTTCTTCTTCCTCTTCTTCACCTACTAAAATCTTTAATTTCCCTACACTCTCCCAGAAACCGGAATTCACTTCAAAATCTGTGTCAGTATCACTCTCTACATCAACTGCTCTTTTCCTATTTCCTCTCTTCACTGCTACCCATGAAGCCAGGGCACTCAGCTTACCCAAGGAAGATATCGTCTCTTCCCTTAATCAGGTACCACTAACTAATTTTCCCTCAATTGAGTTAACTCTTCACATTTTCTTGGATGTTTTTGAAAAGCCATTTATTTAATGGCAATTCTGCTAGGTATAGTTTGTTTTTCCTTCGCCCTTGTAATGCATAGTTCTAGATGATTGTCTTATGTATTGGTTGCTTTAGCTCTTCTAGAAATTGTTTTATTGAATAACACTTGAAGCTTTATTTATTTGTTTATTTATAGTTGGCGGTTCTAGCTGCATTTCCTGTTGATTTTCGTTGTTAAATTTGCTAACCCTGGTAGTTTTAAGGTTAGAATTTTTGTGACAATATTTTGCTGGGATAATTGTGATTACATGCTGTGTGGTTCTAGCTGCATTTCCTGTTGATTTTCGTTGTTAAATTTGCTAACCCTGATAGTTTTAAGGTTAGAATTTTTCTGACAATATTTTGCTGGGATAATTGTGATTACATGCTGTGTATTAATTGGTAAAGGACAATATTTTGCATGTTCTGTGTTTGTGGTTTGTGAAAAAATTTAGTTCTTAGCAACTTATTAGATGTTTCATATTTCCAGGTAGAATCTGCAGTTAATCAAGCTCAAGAGGTTGGTTCAAACATCTTTGATGCTGCAAGCCGAGTGATTGGGCCCGTAATTGAATTTGTGAAGCCCGGGATTGATGTGGCATTGCCTTTAGTAAAGAAGGCTGGAGAAGAAGTTTTAAAGAATGCTTCTCCTGTCATATCTGATGCCACTAAGAAAGCCCAAGAGGCAATGCAGAGCGCTGGCATGGACACTCAGCCAGTGATGACTGCAGCTAAGGTTTGGCTATAGGAAGTTCTTGTTTACATGCTTTAATTAGTCAGTAAAATTCATCTGTGCTTTGTGAATAAATTGCCACTTTGCCAGCCATCTGTACATTGCCTTTTGACCAGTGAAATTTTCTTATAAGAAGCAATAATCATGTAAGTCATATGTGAGAGGAAAAGTATCTTGGTGGATAGGTAGACGAGCGTTTCTCTTTGTCTTACTCAGTTCGCTAGCATTAGTGTTAGTATGATATCTTTTGTTCATAGATGGCTATTACTACCTAGAGTTTGACTGCATTCTTGGATTCGATCTTATTTCATCTTGCTGTTATTCCTACTTGTTGCAATTACCTTTTCTTTTTCGGTCGTTCTCTAGTCGAGGGTCTATCGAAAACAACCTCTCTGCCCTTCTAGGGGTAGGGGTAAGGCTGCGTACATCTTACCCTCCCCAGACCCCACTCGTGGGAAACTACTGGGTTTGTTGTTGTTGTTGTTGTTGTTGTTGTTGAAGCAATAATCATATAAGTCATATGCTGGATATAGAACAAAATAGTGTTCAATGCTTCATTCTTCTTTAATCCATTTCTGGACATGAAAATGATATTCTTGGACTTTGCCATGTCGTTATATTTTGAGTTTCATCTTTTCTTACTCAACTTTAAGAGATAAATGATTGTTTGGTTGCAGACAGTTGTTGATGCAGCTCAACAGACATCCAAGGTGATCGAAGGGGCCAAACCAATCGCCTCATCCACAGTTGAAACAATTTCATCAGCTGATCCGGCTATTATTGCAGTGGCTGGTGGCTCATTATTCCTGGCATATCTTCTACTTCCCCCAGTTTTCTCCGCTCTGTCTTTCAGCCTTCGTGGTTACAAGGGTAACTGGATGGGTTTTCTTACTCTTGTTTATCTCCCCGATTTATGTCGGTTTAGACCATTGAGATATACTGTGTAAACAACAAAAACTCTTTAAGCGTAATTCTAGGAGCATTTGAGAATAGATGTAATACTCCGGAGGGATCTCCTAAAGTACATAAGCATAGTAATAGTTCTAAGAATAACATTTAGGAGTGTTAGATTATGGGACTTCTAGATGACTCGGTCCCAAGAACCAAAGCCTGCTACTATCTGTGAGAAATGTAATATTCATTTTCAATCATGTGGTTATTGGTCATGCATTTAAAATCAATCTGCTTTAGAATATCGTAAATTACATCCGACCAGAATGAGAAAACAAGTAACTAGACTAAGATGACAGTATGCAAGTAATAGTTTTAAAGAATTCAATGCTGCTTGTTTCCTGCATTTCTAATGGTGGTACAGAGTGAGCGCTATTTCACATAAACTAAACAAGGCTTTTTCAAAAGTTTTTGCCACCAACCTCCCCATCCCCACAAGAAAATTAAAATTAAAAGAAAAAAAGGTAATGCAAAAATATGAGACCATGACTAACTTTGGCTTGGTTGGATGGATTATCCAATTCCTTCTTGCTACCAATAAATGTCTCCCAAGTAGCTGAAATAGTGATATTTGTCATCGTCATGAGGGGAGGTGCCTTCACAATCCATTTTATTAGCAGTGTCTGGATATCAAGTAATCACATTGTAGCTGTCTTGCCATTTTGAGATTTCCTATTATTTTTGGGAGTTGAGAAGCTTGGCATTTCACAGCAACTAAACTTGGCTTTTTTCTGTAAAGCAAAGTAAGACCATATGTAATCAGTTGAGAACCAACGTTCATTTAATTATTAACTTCTGCAACATCGAATAATGGTGTCCTGAGTGACTGAAATTGTTATCGTACTGGAAATTGCCTTCACAATTTGCTTTAATAGCATTATCTTGAATCCAAGTTTGTTGCTTATAGTTTTGTTAAACAATTTTCGTTTTCCTGTTAATTTTGGGACTAAAGAAACTTGATTTGGAATACCATTTCCAGGTGAACTAACTCCTGCTCAAACACTGGACCAGATGTGTTCTAAGAATTATGTCTTGATTGATATTAGAACAGAGAAGGACAAGGATAAGGCTGGAATTCCTCGTCTTCCATCTAGTGCTAAAAACAATATGATTCAAATCCCGTAA